GATTGATTTTTTTTTTTTTTGTCGATTGCCACACCTTTCTTCCTAGTTGCCTCTGGGTGAAATCCAACCTCCAACCTTTCAGTTAACAGCTAAACACATTAACTGCTTGTACCTCTCATGAAGCCATAGAACCTGGGTAATCTATTTAAATGTAGCATGGTTCCTGTGCAAATATTTGAATACTTGAGGAAAACTTCCTCTGGCAAAGGGGACTGGAGGCTTCACTTAGTCCTTAAAGAAAGCATTTGACAATTACTGCCATCTTGTTTGGTCAATAATCCATGAAGAGTTTCTTGATAAATTATGACTGAGTACTTTAAAAAATAATATTTGATTGTCTTTTCAGCAATTGAGGTTCCCATTCAATAATTTCTGTACAAGTCGTTTACTATGACATTGTGTGGACGTGCTCATGATTTCTGTCTAGTTGCTCTGTTTTCAGTTATCTAGTTTCCCTGCCCCCTTACATTCTCATCACCACTGTTGACTATATGTTCTCATATGGTTATGGTGGTGTGCCATAGTGTTGTTCCAACTCATAGTGACCCTGTACCAGGTTTCTGAGGCTGTAAGTCTTTATGGGAGCAGAAAGCCTCATCTTTCTCCCGCAGAACAACTGGTAGTTTCAAACTGCTGATGTTTAGGTTAGCAGCCCGACTCGTAACCACTATGCTACTAGAGCTCCTTATATGGTCTCATATGTTGTTGTTGTTAAGTGCCGTCGAGTTGGTTCCGACCCATAGCGACCCTGTACAGGATTTCCGAGGCTGTAAATCTTTATGGGAGCAGAAAGCCTCATCTTTCTCCCACAGAGTAGCTGGTAGTTTTGAACTGCTGACCTTAAGGTTCGCAGCCCGATTCGTAACCACTATGCTACCAGAGCTCCTTATGGTCTCATGGTACTTTTGGAGTACTGGTGAAGTTGTAAGATAAGCATTGGACTGCTAACCAGAAAGTTAGCAGTTTAAATCCATCAGCTGCTCCGATAGAGAAAGATGAAGCTTTGTAGCTCATAAAGAGTTACATACGGGCTTGCCATGAATCTGACTTGATGGTTCCTGACAACAGTTTCTGGTGTGGCTTTGTAGAATCAGCACTGGACTGTGGTCCACAAGCTTGACGGCTCAGGGCCACCAGTTGCTCCTTGGCAACCCCATGCAGGGTCAGTATGAGTTGGAACTTTAAAAAAAAAAAATCTTCCCTGGTGATTGGAATGTGCAGCCAAGGTTAAGCAGTGCTGCTCTACCCAGATCTCAATTCGCCTGTCTTTACTGGCGCTGTGTAGACTTCAGTGAGCTCCTTGTTTCAAACTGCTGACCTTGTGGTTCGCAGCCTGATTCGTAGCCACTAAGCTACCAGCGCTCCTTAAAGAGAAACATTAGAAGTCTTAAAATAGTATAAAAAATTATAAAAATTATTTTTTTTTATTACAGTTGTTTAATTGGGCACTGTAGGTTAACACACTGGACTCAAGGTCAGTTTGAACTGCAAAGTCTGCGGTTCAAGCTCACCAGCCGCTCCTTGGAAACCCTATACTGGGTCGCTATGAGTCGGGACTGACTCGCCGACACTTAACAACAAGGACAACATTTTAAAGGCAGATCAGAGCTTCTTTTCCTTCTCTCAGATCACAGACCTGACCACAAACTGAGGGTGTTTACTCAGCTCTGTCCTTCCTGAATGACCCTAGCTCCTGGCAGGATGCAGAGCATCCAGTTAAGAAATGTTCTCTGTGCTTCTTGAGGAGTTTTTACCCAACCTTGTCCAGAGAATTGTGTCCAGAGTGGCCTGAGTCAGCCACACTGGACAACATGAAGGCTACTCTTTGTAGCAGAGTCTTTACAAGTGGTAGCCCCTTTAGTTGGGCACTGTTTGAGTCAAAGTGTCTGCTATCACTTTTCGTCTAGCTTGTTCTATAAGCCAAATAAGCTCACTCATGTGGAGGACCTGGGCTCTGAACACACCTGTTCGGAGACTCAAAGTCTCTCATTCTGACACCAGTCATTATTTGCAAGTATCTCCACTCCTCTAAGGAGCTCTGGTAGTGTAGGGGTTACGAGTCAGACTGCTAACCTCAAAGTCAGCAGTTCGAAGCTACCAGCTGTTCTGCTGGAGAAAGATGAGGCATTCTGCTCCCGTAAAGATTTACAACCTCTGAAACCCTGTCCAGGGTCACAGTGAGTCAGAACCGACTCCACAGCACACACTCTAGCCTCTACCAAGGTTTCGCCTTCCCAAGTTAGAGAAAGCGTAGGAGATGAACAGCTCACACCTGGAGAGAGTTTCGCTGGAGGGCCTTGGTCAGGAACATCCCTTTCAGATACAGTAGCAGGAGTTGGACCCTGGGAGTCCCGGCTCTCCCCAAAGTCCCTGCGCATGATGACCGCGGGTGAGCCAGTGTTCCGTTGTCCCTTGTCAGGGTCTGACAGGGATGGAACCTGGACCCCATGTCCCTCTCCCTTTCCTGATTCTCTTCTCCAGCGCTTCAGATCCGTCTCCCCACTTACCAGCAATGACAAGGCACCTCGCTAGTATCCTTGCCGGTCATCATGATAGCCCTACCACAGGGCTACTGGCAGGATGATGTGTGTGAGATGTAGTGCCTGCCCCAAAGAAGGTTCTTCACAGATACTGCTTCCTCCCTTTCCTCTCCTCCTTCAGGAGGTCTGCCCGTTGCCTAAAACCTTTCCAGTCCTCTACCCACTCTCCTCTCACCTTCTCTGGGATCCCCCAGTCTGATCTTACAGCAGGGCCCAGTCCAATTCCTCTCTTGGCTCCAGAAACCAGGTGTGTAATTGGGTGATGTGAGGCCACCATGGGCCTTTCTGCCACAGGAGGACCAGAGAGGAATCACCACAAGGCCTGAGCAGTAAATAAGAAAGCCCCCCAACAGGTTACCTGGATTTGCTGCCTCTGCTAATAGTGCCGACTCCGGCCTCCGTGAACTGCCCCAGCAGCATCTGCAGGCTCTTCCGGTCTTCAGAACTCTGGCCCTCCTGTTGTGTGAATTCAGGGCCCTGCAGAAAGCAGCTTCTGAGTCCAAGAGTTGGTTCCGTAGGGTTCAGTCCCTACAGCCCCCTGAGACCTTAATGCTCTGGTCAAATACAGAAAGGAACAACACTGCCCCCTAAGCCCAGTAGCCTAGGTGTGGATGAACAAAGTCTCTGGGACAATTGCCTGGTCTGACCTCCCTAGGATCTCCGCCTTTCCAGCCCAACCACATGGGTTGACCAGAGACTCCAGAGTTGGCGTCTGACTCTTCTTCACAGAGGCCATGCCTATGCCCTGCTCTAAACTGCTTTAGCAGCTACATGTGCTTAATTCCCCTTGCCCAGTGCTTCCCATAATGACCCTAATGGGCCAAAGAAAGCAGCTGCTTTCCTGAAACAGAACTATCCCCAGCTTCCACCCCATGACTGGCCTGACCTATTGCTACTACTGCTGTTTCTGGGAATCCAAGTGCATTCTGGGATCTCAGTATGCACTCTGGGTTTGCTTGGAACAGTTCTAGACTTGAAACTGTCGGAACCGCTGTACACTCACTGAGATGACGTTACAAGCATCATGGGAAGGGAAAGAAGTCTGAGGCCCAGAGACTTTCAGGACAGCTATTACAGAAGCCCAGCTCTGGCCTAGAAGATGTCTACAAGGCACCACCATTACAAGGGCCCAAAGGAAAATACTTTGGTCAATTTATCAGAAGGGTGAGTTTAGTGGTCTCAGAACTGCTACTGGGAAGCAAAAACTAAGTTTGGAACATTTAGGACTCTGGGGTCCTATTTCCAGCAGACGTGGAAACCATGTGTAGAAACCTCGTTGGACCCTGAGGTTGTGTGGATGCAGCCTCACCTCTCAAGGTTTAGCATCTTCAAACCACGTATCAAGGTGCTACTGATAGATACACCACTCGGTTGATCACCTGGGAAGAAAAGCTCCCCAATACCTTTCATTGTGTTCCCATGGGAGGAAAACCAGAAAGAACTATCTTGGGAATACTGCTACAAAGAGGGCAAACAAGATCCTTCCAGCTCTTCTGGGTTCTCCAAAGCATACAAGAAGACCAGACTAGATGATTCCATTCTGATCTTGGCTGTTTAATGCAAATTTGAGCCAAAGGTCAGTGGCTTATCAAGTCCCACAAGCACATTTGATCAGAAAGTATATCCTGAGACCAAAAGAAGAGAATTACCTGAAAAGAGGTTCATGAGGCTCATCTCCAGAGGCCACTTGCTAAAGGACTCACCAGCTTCAAAGGTTTGCCTCCCACAAGCCAGGATGGAACTCCAGAAATGTTGACTCACTAGAGATGCCCAACTTTTGGGATGTTGGACTAGAAAGAGATCACATGGGGGAATGTTAAGTAGGGTTTCTGTCCTGTCACCGAGAAAGAGATGCTGACTTCATTTATACAAGTTATGGTCAATTTTTATTTCCTGAAGACAAGGAAGTGTCTGCCAGCCAAGGAAGCTTACGAGTCTCACGCGAATAATCCATGTTACCATTGTCTCATTGACCTGCCCTCTGCAAGCCCCCCCTAGGGCTTACTACAGAAGAAGTCAGATCCCAGATGGAAAGAAAAAGACCTGTAACTGAACTTCAGGAACTTGATTTCCAATATCCTTGCTCACCACAGTGTTCCAAGCCAGTTCAAACTCGGGACCTTCTTGAAGCTGTCACAAGAGAAGGTTTCTTGGAGGAGCTCCTTGCTCATTCTCACAAAAGGTATTTGGCTTCAGAAGAGCAAGATCTCTCTCCTCAACCCACTGAGCAAGCTGACCCCAGTACTCCCAAGCTTGCCAGTCAAGAATAACACACATCCAAGAAAACTCTTGTCTGGATCTTTGGTTGAGACGGCGGCAGTGGCAGCGGCGGCAGCAGCAACACTTAGCCTTCCCAGGGCTCCGGAAAGCAGCCGAGCTGGCCATCCATAAGGAGGCCACAGTGCTTCCAAGCTGGAGTTGCTGACAGGAGTCCTAATGGCGGCCCTTGGTTTCTTGCAGACATTGATGAGTGCCTCGCAAGCCCTTGTCTGAATGGAGCCACCTGCGTGGATACCACCGGCGGCTCTTTCACATGCTTATGCCTTCCCAGCTACGGAGGGGACCTGTGTGAGACCGGTACGGCTGTCTCGGCTTCAGCTAACATTACTAACTAACTGCTGCACCCTCGCCACCTCCTTCAGCCTTCTAACCACAAGCTCTAGACCCTGGCTGGGGCCCCTATGGCCCACCTAGACAGCCAACCAGTGGCCACCACTGAGAAGCCTGCCCCGCTCCCTCACTCCTTCTCTTGCTGTTCCTCTTGAAAGCTCTCCTCCAGGGCATTAGCTGACCTGACCACAGGAAAGCTGTGCAGACCAGGCTAGTCTGCACTTTGCAAGGTGAGACTTTGGGGGACCTTGAAAACACTAACCTTCTCCAAGGCTCTCACACCTGCAGCTCCACCACTGAGGTTGGTGGAGAAATCAGCCTAAGAGCACAAACTGATTCTTTGCCTTTCTTGAAGGCAGTTGCAGAGTGGGAAGAATTGGTTCTCGCTAGATGACACTCACGGATCTTTCCAGCATGGTCATAAGCATGTGCTTGCCTACTGTCTTGTCTCTGGGACCTCTGTGGCCCCACCATGGCCTTAAGAACCACCATGCCACAATGGCTAAGCTGCCTCCCTGTCTAACTGGGAGCCTGCACGTCACCAGCATGCTCAAGTTGTGCATGAGCAGAGATTGCTGCCTGTCACCTCCCCCTCATCACCTGTATGTCAACTCATGTCAATGCAATGCCACTGAGACCCAGGCTTCCTCTCTCCCTCCCTCATGCAAGGCCAGGAACTGGCCAGAGAGAACATCTCCTTGCTCCTCTTTGGAACCTTGCCAAGCCCTCCAATTCTGCACCTGGGCTGAGCTGCCAACTCCACCAAGGGGAGCTATATGCCAGGAACCCTCCCAGAACCAACCTGAGCCCCCAGCTCTCTCACCTTTGGTTGCTTCCTAGTCTCCCCCCACCCCAATCCTCCTGGATTTCAGTGAGTGCTGTCCCGACTCAGAAAGCGAGAGTGGGACTTGTGGATTCTGGGAGCCGTGGCCCACATAGCACAGAAGGCAGCTGAGCAGGACGAGGAGGTAGTTTGGAACTGCATATTGCTTGGAGACACTGCCAAGCTTACAGACAGGTGGACTAGCCTCCTCCTCTGAAGCTGCCCTCCCTCCATCCTCGCTCACCCCACGACCCTGAGAAATGGGCACAGGGAGTCTTGACAAGGGTGAAAGTGGAAAGCTAGAAGGAGTTTCTCTGTAGCTTGCCAAAACATGTATCACACAGGAGAGGGGTCTGTCTGGAATGTCTATGCAGACAGCTCATGAATTTCCAGGAGGGTGAAAGGGGTGCTCACGGGGCTCTGAATCCTGATGCAGCAAAGAGATGGGACAGGAGCCACCCATGTGGCCCCCATTCTAATCCATGGTCTTCACCACCCCACAGGCAGCCCAGGCATGGACTCCGGAGCTGCTGCTTTTTCCAGCCTTCCCAAAATTCCATTTCTGTTTCCCCAGAACCTCCATCCTGCATGGCCCTGCCCCACTCCCAGAGAAGCTGCACCCCACTTTTTCCTGTAATGTCCCCCACACGTCATTCTGAGATGATGTCTCTGACCTCCTCACTGTGCTGAGCTGCTGCTTCCCCTGCCTCAGGGAAGCTGGCGGCAGCAAGGGCAGTATTCTCCTTAGCCCCTCCAGCGGCTCTGCCTTTTCTTCCCAGGCTGCTGGCCTCCGATGCTCCTCCCCCCACTGTTCCCAAGTGTCTCTCACCCAGTCTTGCCAAGCGTCTGTCCCTTCAGCCTAACACTCCATCCTCTCCTGGACAGGCAAACTGTAGATGGTGCCCAGCCGGAGAGGACACCACACAGCACGAGGGTTCAGGGTCCAGGGAGGAAAAAAAGAGAGGCTCCTGGTACTCTTCTGTCCTGTGGCATGCTGGCGAATGTTTAACAAAACTGGCTCTCAGAGAGGGAGGGGGTCCTGATCTGCCAATTTCTGAGCTGTAAATACCAGAGTGTCCATCCACCCCAAGGTCATTGAAGGCAGAGTTGGAGAGAAAAGCCCTATCCCTGTCCCCAGGCTGCCCAAGAGCTATCCCAACCTGCCCCTTCTCCAGAACCGAGAACCTATTAGAAATTTAGGGTTGTTAGGAGACAGGCTCCTCACCTCTTTTCTACCCCTGCCCCAGACACAAACACACAGACAGACCCCCTGGGTCATGGGCCCTGGTCAGCATCTCCCCTCCTAGACTAGAGGCAGACCATGTGCTCAGCTAGAGCTTGGAGCCTTCTTTGGACCCAAAGCAGACGTACTCCTGCTGTGCCATCTGCAGCCTAAGTTCTGCTGGAAGGAAGCTAGCAGGTTCAGTTCAGGGTCCCAGCACAGCCCCCCACCCCCCGCCCCTGACTACCTCCACCCATGTGCTCCCAGTTCCTTCCCTCTCCCTGAAAATGGAGGGTTATTGCTGACATCATCAGGAGAAAAGCACTGGGCTTAACATCAGGAAGAAGAGGGGTCCCTGCCCCTGAGCTGGGCCTCTTCCTTCTTTGAGGGCACAACTAAGGCAGAATGAATATGGGGGTTCATGCCATCACTGGCAGCCACTGTTCCCCCAGTCAGCCGTGGGACACCCCTTCATGCCTCCTACCTGTGTTGCAGACCAGGAGGCATGTGAGAAGGACTGGACCAAGTTCCAGGGTCACTGTTACCGCCACTTCCCTGACCGCAAGACCTGGATGCAGGCTGAGATCCACTGCCAGGAACACCAAGCCCACCTGACCAGCATCGTCACTCCTGAGGAACAGGAGTTTGTCAACAGTGAGTGTGGCAAGGTCTCGGGCAAAGGGCCTCACTCACCAGACGTCAGCACATGGGGGCCCACGGTGGCTGCAGGGGACTGGGCCCAGAAACTCAGGCTGCACACAGGGCAGCCCACTGTCTGTCCAAATCGGCCCCCAGACCTAACCCTGTGTGCTATCACCAGTCCCTGCCAGCTTGGTAAGGTGGCCAGGGTGTAGCCCCAGCATACATGTGTGAGAGAGCCTTCTACAGACCCCAAAGGCAGGACCCATCCCTCCATGAGTTCAGTATCTCTGGCACCTTCAGTGCTCAGCCCCTTGCCCAACACGTATCCGTCCTCTCTCTAGACAATGCTCAAGACTACCAGTGGATTGGCCTGGCTGACAGGACCATTGAAGGGGACTTCCGCTGGTCAGATGGACATCCCGTGGTGAGTCATGTCAGGGGCCCTGGGCAGAGCTGGGGGCCACAGGGGACAGGGTGAGACAAAGAACATCCGAACAGAAACATTCAAACCATGTCGCAGTATCCACTGGGTAGCTGCTGGACCCTTGAAGGAAGGCTTCGTCTTTCATTCTGGGTCTCCAGGGATGTGCACAAGGCTGGACAATGTGAGGAAGGACATGAACAGAGGCACAGCCCCCTGAGGGGCACGTAGAAGCTTTAGTAAGGTCCCTTGTCCACAAAGGACTTGAGTCTACTCAAGGAGACAGACCAACAGACAGAAAGCAACATGTGTATTAAAGGAACTATGTTATTGTTGTCAGGGGGTGTTGAATTAATTCTGACACAGAACAATCCCATGTGACACAGGAGTACTGCCCCATGTGACACAGGACTCCTGCCCCATTGGCTGTCATCTTTATAGGAACAGATTGCCCGGACTTTCTCCCATGAAGCCACGGGATAGGTTCCAACAGCCAACCTTTCAGTTAGCATCTGAACCCAAACCGAGCCCATTGCTTTTGAGTCAGTTCTGACTCCTAGCAACCCTTTTAGACAGAGTAGAAGTGCCTCACTGGGTTTCTAAGGCTGTCATCTCTATGGGGACTGCTGGTGTGGAGCTGTGGGATAATGCACTGGACCGAAAGGTCTGTTTGAACCACAAGGTCATCCGTTCAGATTCACCAGCCGCTCCTTGGAAACCCTATACAGGGTCACTATGAGTCAGACCAACTTGACGACACTTACCAACAACAACAATCTTTAAGGAAGCAAACTGTCACATCTTTGTCCTGTGGTGGATTTAAACTGCCAAGCTTTTGGTTAGCAACTCACTGCTTAACCATCGTGCCATTGAGACTCCTAAATACAATCAGGAAACATTGAAGGAGCTCAGGGGTGGCTCCCTGGAAGAGGTGAATGTGACCATGCTGCTAAGTTAGAGGAATGAAGACTCTGTTTGCCCTAAGCAAGGCTGGAGGGAGAAGCCGGGGACAGAGTCTGCAGTGTGAGCCGGGGTTCTACTCTTCGGTGCAACTCAAGCCGGACAGCCTTTGGGGTGAGGCTTTCTTTGCCCATATGAAAAAGGGAATGTCACCTGTCTGTGTTGGACGGGTCTTTCAGACAAAGAGAGACTAAGGAGAAAGGCTGGAATCAGCCAACCCAAATCTGCCACCGATCACAGGAAGCTGTAGGAGCAGGTAGCATTGCCCAACACCTGTGTCCTCTTTGTGCATGGGGTCCCATGAGTCAGGGGCTGACTTGTTGACGGGAAAGGGCCAGAGCTAGGTTGAACGTGTATCCAGCTACTTTAAGGGCCAGTGGGTTCCATGGCATCCAGGACAACCCTGACCAGACTCCCAGCAGCCCTTGTGCTGCTTCTGATCAATCAAATGTTGGGCTAAAGAGAAAGGCGAACCAGCTGGCTGCTACTGCGAGGGCTGGCCTCTCATCAGACCTTCCCCCACCCTGCTCACAGCTGTTTGAGAACTGGCGTCCTAACCAGCCCGACAACTTCTTTGCGGCTGAAGAAGACTGCGTGGTGATGATCTGGCACGAGAAGGGCGAGTGGAATGACGTCCCCTGCAACTACTTCCTGCCCTTCACGTGTAAAAAGGGCGCAGGTAAGCAGGGGGCTGGGGCTTTGTAAACAAATCTTAGACCTCTTTCTTAGCCTTTCTCCCTCCCTGCTGGCTTCACTTCATCCCCTTAAGAGCCCACATTTAAGGTTTATTTTATTATTTAGATCACTTGTATGCTTACAGAAAAATTGGACTGAAGGTACAATTTCTATTTATATCCCTACCCTGCTACAGTTTCCCTGATAGTAACATCTAACTTTTGTTACAGTGGATTAGCTGATATTGATACATTATTGAAGTCTATAGTTTTACATGGGGGCTCACTGTTTTCTGTTGGATTTTAAAAATTCGTACCATCACATGTCTGTATCATGCTGAATAGTTTCACTGCCCCCCCACCCACCCACCCAAAATGCTCTGGGCTCTCCATGTGTTCATCTTGCTCCACTTCCCCACAAGCTCCTGGCAACCACTGATCTTTTCACTGTCTCCATGGTTTTGCCTTTTCCAGAATGCCAGTAGTTGGGAGGATACAGCACATAGACTTTCCAGACTGGCTTCTTTCACTTAGCAGAAAGCCCTTAAGGTTGTCTCTATGGCTTTTTGTGGCTCAGTTGCTCATTTCTTCTCATCCCAGAGTAATTCTCCATTGTGTGAAAGTACCCTAGAGAGTGCAACGAGTTTGGGCTCGGTAACTAACCAAAGGGTGGCAGTTCTATTCCACTCAACCAAGCCATGAAAGGGAGTTCTGACAGTCTGTTTCTAAGATCAGGGCCACTGGAAACTCTCTGGAGCCTAGTTCTACTCTGACACACAGAGGGTCTCCATGAGGGGGAATTGACTGGACACCAATGGTGGAGGGGTTGGTTTTTTATTTGAGTTTTTATGGATAAATCACAGTTTATTGTCACTTGGTTGTTGTTGTTGTTAAGTGCCATCAAGTCAGTTCCAACACATAGCGACTTGTTAATAGCGTTTTCAAGGCTTCAGATCTTTGGGGGAGCGGAAAGCATCATTTTTTTCCCCCTCAGAGCAGCTGGTGGGCTCAAACTGCAGACCTGGTGGTTTTCAGTCTAGTGCTCCCTATTAGTTGGTTAGACTGGATTAAGGCAGTCTCAGAAACCCTCCATGGGGTCCCTGTGACTTCCGATGACCCTGATGACAGTGGGTTTGTTGTTGTTAAGTGCCGTCAAGTCGGTTCCGACCCATAGCGACCCTGAACAGGGTTTCCGAGGCTGTAAATCTTTACGGGAGCAGAAAGCCTCATCTTTCTCCCGTGGAGCAGCTGGTAGTTTCGAACTGCTGACCTTGCAGTTCACAGCCCGATTCGTAAACACTCAAATCAAATTGATTCTGACTCATGGTGATTCCACATGTGCCAGAGTAGAACTGTGCTACACAGGGTTTCTGATTTTTCTGAAGCAGATCACCAGACCTTTCTTTGGAGGCACCTCTCAACTCAAACTTTCAACCTTTCAGTTAGCAGCCACGCATGTTAACCATTTGCCCCACCCAGGGACTCCACAGTTTGTTAAGAAGCCCCTTACTATTCCTTCTGCTGCCCTATATTCCTGAGGGACCCAGATGTTAGGACCAAGGTGTCCAAATTCTTAGCATTACATGAAAATGCCCTTTTTCCAGGAGTAGGGACTGCCGTAGGGTGGGAGGCACAGACCCAGGCTTGAAGGGTTTACCCCAACTCCAGGACCCTGCTCTGGGTGTCTGCTCTGGGAGAGCCCCTTCTAAAGAATGTTTGTCCCCTAGTGGCCTGCGGACAGCCCCCGGTGGTGAGACATGCCAGAACCTTGGGGCAGAAGAAGGATCGATATGAAATCAACTCCCTGGTGCGGTACCAGTGTGCCCAGGGCTTTCTGCAGCGCCACGTGCCCACCATTCGGTGCCAGCCCAGCGGGCACTGGGAGAAGCCTCAGATCACCTGCACGGATTGTGAGCATCGCCTTCCTACCCTTTGCTGGGCTCAGGGTTCCATTCTCTCTGCTCTGAGCCCTGAAGTGTTAGCCCTCCCAGGAGTCCCCAGTGGTCAACGGTCTGCACCAAGCACATTGTTCAGCACCACTGCTGAAGTCAGGGGGTAGCAAGGTCCTAAATCCTGTAGGCCAGGGAAGGAAAGGCTCACCTTCACCAGAGTATGAGAGAGAAAGCATGAGACTGAATTCCCGTAGGTCAAGCCGGTTTGAGATAAAACCCCAAACAGGAAAGCTCAGGCTTGTTTCCAGGGGCCCTGAATGTGGATTCTGAGGGGGTGGGAACCATCTACACAAGATCAGGGTTGGGAGGGATTAGGGTTGGCCCCACTGTCTTTCCAGAGTGGTTCCTAATACTTTTCCATCCCTTTTCTCCCCTAGCCACCAACAAGCCCCAACGGAGCTCCCTGCAGAAAAGCCTCCCCAGCTCCAGCCACTGAGAGAAGTTTCTGGGACGTGCCCAGGACACTGAGCCCAGCTGACAGTTCATTCCATACAGATGGTGTCTTCTTCCTGTCGCTTTTTCTCATATAAGGAAACCCATTAAAGAAAGAAAAACGAAATCCCACATTGAGTGTGCGCCACACCCACCCACCCCAAATCTCCAGAAATGCACCTAATCCCATCCCCCCTCCCAAAACACCAAAGCCAAAGCAAGCTCCTGTAACCCACGGACTGAGTCTAGAGCCATTTCTTCATTGTCCCGTTGTGCCTTCCTGGGGACCAGTGCAGGGACAGGGGAGAAGGGGAGGGGCTAAGTTAAATAAAGAAGATTAGTTTTGTTTCCTGACTTTACCCACGAGCAGTGCAATCGATGGTTTCATCTCCAGGGACAGCTAAGGACGGGGGAGGCAGGGTTGGAGGAGCTGGCAGAGGCCCGGTGTGGAGAGCTCGGAGCCTCAGCGGAATGTATTGGACAAGACAGAGCCGAAGCCCAGAGGGCCACGATGTCTGTCACTTGGGGCAGGGTTCCAGCCAGAGGAGGGGCAGGAGCCACCCTGCAGGGGTCTTCCTCCCGTGTGGAAGTTGGTTCCCTCAGGGTCCCTCCTCCAGGGTCCTCTCACCTGGACCATCCTAGCAGGTGTCTCTCTCAGCAGGGCTGGGTGGGAGGCACTCTCTCCCCAGTCTGAGTACCACCCACCTCTCCTCTCCCCTTCCCCCGCCCCCAACCCCTGACCGTGCAGGCACTAGCGTGCCTGGCACCTATTTATATTTTTGAAATTTTGAAGAGTATAATAATTATAATTATAATAATAAAGACATTGGAAGAGATCTATTTCTTTTCTTTTTTAAAAACTTTTTATAGTGAATTAATTAAGTGAAGTTTACAGAGCAGATCATCAGTTTTACATTCAGCAAATCATATACTTTGCTTCATTACAGTGACTGCATTCCCCTCCATGGACCATCAGTTAACAGCATTTACCTCTGTTCACTTAAACTCTTGCTCTCACCCTGTGTCCCCTGCTACCTTCTTCTTTCCTCTGCAAATCTCCTTGTCGTATATTGCCTGCCACATCACCTATGTTAACGTGTGTCTACCCTCTAGGCCATGAACAATTCCCCTCAACCCCCAAGGAACCATCATAGAATGTTTCATTAGCAACAGTGGTCTCATGCAATATTTGTGATTGCCTAAAAAGTCCCAATGTGGCACTGTAGGTTAATGCGCTGGACTGCAAAGTCAGTTTGAATCACAAGGTTGGTGGTTCAAACTCACCAGCCGCTCCTCAAGGTCGCTATGGGTCAGCACTGACTCAATGGCACTTAACAACAACAATTTCACTCAGCATAATGTCCTCCAGGCTTATCCATATTGTGAGATGTTTTGCAGATTCGTTGTTATTCTTCAGCACTGCTTAATATTCCATCTGTGTATGAATCAAAGTTTGGTTAACCATTCTTCTGTTGATGGGCATTTAGGCTGTTACTTGGGACAGGGTTCTGGCCAGGGTGAGGGGCAGGAACCACCCTTGCAGGGGTTTTCCCCAGTGAGGGAGTCGAGTCCCTTTGGGGTCCCATCTTTGTGCTATTGTGAATAGTGCTTCAATGAACATGGGTGTATATAGATCTAGCCACACCATAGCTCTTAACGCTTGAGGATATATACAAAGCAGAAGGATTGCTGGGTCATATGGTATTTCTATGTCCCAACTTTCTGAGGAAGCACCATTCTGTTTTCCACAGTGGTGGGACCCACCAACAGCGCAGGAGGGCCCCCATCACTCCATACCCTCACCAGAATTTGTTTTCTATTTTTTTGAACTTCACTATTTATGCTGAGCTCTGGTAGCGTAGTGGTTACAAATCGGACTGCAAACCACAAGGTCAGCAGTTCAAAACTACTAGCTATTCCGTGGGAGAAAGATGAGGCTGCTTCCATGAAGATTTACAGCCTCGGAAACCCTGTACAGGGTCGCTATGGGTCAGAACCAACTCCACGGCACAGAACCACCACCCATTAATGCTGAAGTAAGATGATATCTCATTGTTGCTTTGATTTGCATCTCTCCAATGGCTAATAATCATGAGCATGTCTTCATATGTTAGTTGGCTGCCTGACTGTCTTCTTTGGTGAAGTGTTTGTTCATGTCCTCTGCCCATTTTTTTATTGGATTATTTGTTTTCGTCTTGTTGAAGCATTGAAGTGTTCCATAAATTTTGGAGAGTAGTCCTCTGTCTGATATGTCAATGCCAAACATTTTTCCCCGTCTGTGGCTTCTCTTCTTTCTCTTTTGGTGAAATCCTTTGATGTACATAAGTGTCTCATTTTTAGGAGATTCCAGTCATCTATTGTCTTTTGTTTGTGTGTTTTCAGTTATGTTTGATAGTAATGTATTTATGTCAGTATCACAGCCCCTAAATTTGTCCCTGTTTTTTCACTGATGAGCTGTATAATTCTAGGTTTTATATTTAGGTCTCTAAACCATGCTGAGTCCATTTTTGCATATAGTGTGACATATGGTTCTTGCTTCATTTTTCTGCAAATGGATTTCCAATTTTGCCAGCACCATTTGTTGAAGAGATTATCTCTTCCCCCATTTAGTGCATTTTGGCTGTTTGTCGAAGATCAGCTAAACCATAGTGGATGAATTTACTTCTGGGTTCACAATTCTGTTCCATTCATCTATGTGCCTTTCGTTGTACCAGCACCAGGCTGTTTTGACAACTGTGACTATGAAGTAGGTTTTGAGATAGAGAAGTCAGAGGCTTCCTGCTTTGTTCGTCTTTTCTAATAATGCTTTGCTTATCTGGGGTTTCTTTCCTTTCCATATAATTTAGTGATCAGCTTTTCCATCTCTTTGAACAATGATGTTGGCATCTGGATTGGGATTGCATTATAACTATAGATTGCTTTAGGTAGTGTTGACATTTTCACAATGCTAAGTCTTGCTATCCACAAGCAGGGTATATTCCTCTATTTCTGCAGGTATTTTATGGTTTCTTGTAGTAGTGTTTTGTAGTCTTCTTTGTGTAGGTCTTTTGTTTCTCTGGCTAGACTTATTCCTAAGTATTTCATCTTTTGGGTAGCTATTGTAAATGATATTGTACTCCTGGTTTCTTTTTCAGAGCTTTCTTTACTAGTGTAAAGGAATCCAACTGACTTTTGTATGTTGATCTTGTACCCTGCCACTTTGCCAAATCTCCGAATAAGTTCCATTAATTTTCTTGCAGAGTCTTTAGAATTTTCTAAGTATAGGATCATATCATCTGCAAATAGAGAGAGTTTTACTTCTTTGTCAATTTGGTTGCCTTTAATTTCCCTTTCTTGCCTTATATCTCTTGTTAAGACTTCCAGCACAATGTTGAACAGGAATGGTGATAAAGGGCACCCTTGTCTGGCTCCTGTTCACAGAGGAATAGCTTCAGATTCTCACTGAGGGTGACATTGGCTGTTGGCTTTGTATATAAATACTTAATTATGTTGAGGAATTTCCCATCTCGTGCTATTTTGTTATGTGTTTTTATAAGGAATGACTGTTGATTTTGTTGAATGCCTTTTCTGAATCAATAAATATGATCATGTGATTATTTTCCCCTTATTTATGTAGTGAATTACGCTGATCGTTTTTCTGATACTGAACCATCCCTGCATTCCTGGTACGAATCCCAGGTGGTCATGAAGTATTATATATATATTAGGATTTGTTGAGAATTTTTGCATCTATGTTCATGAGAGATATTGGCCTATAACTTTCTTTCTTAATGATGTCACTTGCCTTATTTTGGTATCAAGAGTTATGCTTGTTCCATAACATGAATTTGGAAGTTTCCCATCCTTTTCTATGTTCTGGAATAGTTTGAATAGAATTGGTGTCAGCTGTTCTCTAACTGCTTGGCAGAATTCACCAGTAAAGTCATCTGAGCCTAAACGGTTTTCAGTTGACTGGATCAATTTCTTCTCTTGTTAAAGGCCTGTTCAAGATTTCTACTTCAGTCTGTGTTGTTAGTTTAGGTAGATCATGGTTAATCCATTTGCATTGTTATAATTATCGATAGGTATTAATTGATTGCTGTCATTTGCTGTGTTTTGGGGTTTTTTTTAATGTTTATTGTGAGCTATGTGATAGTTTATATGGGAGAACATTAGTTTTACATTCATCCTATAGTATATCATTTCATTGCTATGGTTACAATCCCCTCCATGCATCATCACTCAACCAAAGGGTATACACTACAAGCCTGCCCCCTGGTCATTAGCACACTATCCCTCTCCCTCTCTGTCTAAAGTCCCCAACACTTCCATCTCTCCACGTCATTGTCTCTGCCTCCATCTCAGGCATCACTGCTTCTCTGGATAGGGTCCCATTCTCCGCTCTTCTCCCTTGATGGTCCCAGGGACCTCCGCTCTTAGGCTGAAAAGTTAATCACTCCCCTCCTTGCTACAAAACATCTAACGTCTACCTTTACAATTCCAACCCTCTTAAGCAGTCCTGATATGATAG